AAAACCCCAAAACCCCAAAACCCCTTAAGTTGAAATAAGCTATGTTTTGTGTTAATGCATAAATAAATTTAACCTAATAGTAATATGATAAATTTATTCATTTTATATATAATCGTTTGTATGTCTCTCCATTTTCTTATGCAAAAGCAAGTTACAAATGCATATTATGATGAAAAATGAGTTATAAGACTTAAATAATCCTCTTCAATGTGATCAATCAGTAGATTTTCACTGATTATTTTTCAGAAGTTGAGTTATCGAAATTTTGATAAAATCCATATCTTCTTAAAGCTTTCCAACTTTACTATCAAGTCCATTAACTTGTTTCTCAAGTCCATTGATTTTAACATCCATACCTTATTCTAATCTATTAAAATCAATCTTGCTATTCTCTTATGCTTGATCAAGCTAAAGTTTCAATATAGATAATTAATCTTATAGACCCTCATTTGAACTTGGATTCTTAGAACTTTGCTATAAATTTCCATCAATTTTCTCAAGTATCTGATTATTCTATTGGTTCTAAGTTTAAATAGAATGTAGATTTTAAATTAACTCAATTTTAGACTTAGCCGCTGTAGTTCTTATGGTATACTTGATATCTTTAATAAATCCTTGCCATTCCCCAGCTTCATTAGATTCTGTGTTTAATGGTCTTCTGAGAACAATAAAATTAGGGAAGTTTACTTTGCTCTTCAATTCAACTTCATTGAAAAGTTATTCTCTCTCAACAATCATGTTAGCTTTAACTTTGTATGATTCCGCAACAAGTTTCTACATGACTCTTTCATAAGACTCTGATATGACAGCAATTATGAAGTTCATGAACACTATATTCAAAGTCATAACAGCTATCAACCAGATAATCCAGGTAAAGATCACTAATCCATCTTCTTAAGTATGGTAGTCATCTAGTTAGAAGTCGCCAGAAGATATTCTGAAGGCCATCAAAAAATATGCTAGTTTGTTCACCCCATTGTATTCATCGATCTACTATGCCTTAAAGAGGACTAAGAAAATCATTCCAAACTGAAGGATGAAAATTAGGAAGAAAATCAAGAAGTATTTAAGATCTTTGAAGACACCAGCCATCATTTGAACGAGAAAACTGAATCCATCATATATTCTCAAGAAGAAAAATATTTTCATGAAGGATAAAACGATTACTAGAATTTTTATCAAGATTTGATTAACTTAGGCATCATTTGTAAAGTCTAGAATGCAGTATGTTGTATAGGCAAGTATATGAGTGAAATCAAAGTAATTCCATCCATCTTTGAAATAATCTCCTCTTTAAACTCTTATTTGTTAAATTTCATAAATTAAGAAATAGAGTAGAACAAGACTACATATTATTTTTGTAGAAATCTATAGCCATATATTGGGTTGCAAAACTTCTTTGTTGTTTGATTCATCCAAAATATTTTGTGTTGCATATGTAGAATAAAAGATATCGAAAATGAAAGAAGCCATAAAAATCATGTAAAAATAGAACCTGTTTTAATAAAAGGACTTAGTATACGTATTCCACTTAAAGTTAATGATAGCTTGAATAATTTTATTTTCAAAATACTCAGGCTTTTCTGTTTCACTTAATACCTACATCAGCATTTAGGGATTATTTCTTAATGACAAGGGCAAGTTGATCAAATGATATTCTATTGAAACTTTAGAATCATGCTGATTCTCTAAAAGAGACAACTTCTTTGAAAATAATTCATCGTATTTTTCATGGACATCCTTTGGATGATCTAAAGTTATTCCCTCTATCAACTCTTATTCATCATGATGTTGACTTGGAAATGATAAATCATGGATTTCATAATTAGCTAGATTACTCTCGAAGTATTCTTATAGATCTATCTATTGTTTAATTAGCTCGCATAAATTCTTATCTATCAGCTTGTTAAACAATATGTGATCTTGGTATTTTATAATCATTGCGATTATTAGATTGATGATCTTTTGCTATTAATTTTTAATAGAAAAATCTAAAGGGGATTCTCCACCTAACATATTTTAACAAATAAGGATAGGTATGGATTGCTTGTCCTTCATTGAAAGCTATTTGACAATAGCCTCTAAAGCAACCAAATTATTCTAGAAAACACCGAATCCTGTTCCGTAACCAGCAATAAACTTTAAGTATTTATTAACATTAGATGATAATTCTCTAATGATATCTTCGTTTTTATTATTAGTAATTTCTCGGTAATCTATAATAAGTTGATCAGTAATGTCTATTAATAAATTTCCGACCATTTTTTACTCGCCTTTTATGAATATTTACGCCTAACTTGAATCAATGATTATTTTGTCAGCATATTCAAAATAAAAAGCAGGAAAAAGAGGTTAAATTAGTTATTCCTCATTGAAATTTTCTTCAAATGACTTTGATTTCATAGTATAGAGTTCTATTTATTTATCCTTAGTATATCTTCTAAGAATTTAGTAACTCTCTTTGTTAAATTATTTCTAATAAGATCTATAAAGTTCTAGATTTTGAAATTACTTCAATTATTATATTTCAATAATTTTGTCAACATTTTTGTTCTTGAAAAATAAAATACTTGTGCCTAAGTGAGAATTGATTTGAACATAGTTGTTGCTAATATATACAGAATTATACATGATATCTCCTGATATTTCTTTAATTAGGCATCTATTCTAAAGACTAAAAATTCTGACATGAGCTATATTGCTTACTAATAAATAGCCTATATCATCATTTAAAATGGCTTCTTTTGGACACTATTCCAGATATACTTCGCTAATCAAATCAATAGAATGAAATTTTTAGTTTTATTTATCAAAATAAACTATTTTGTTGTCTACCGGTAAATCAAAGATATATTGCTTTTCAAGAAATTGATTGTTCATTAGGCAAAAATAAGAATTCTAAGCAGATTAAAATCCAGACTTTTATTGGAATTCTGACCATAAAACTTTTCTATTTTCATTTAGATATACATATTCATCATCTGATCAAATGAGAATATCTTCTGCATTTATTTAAGTAACTATTTTGTTTTAATCTATATAATCTTCTTTTATCATTTCATTGAAATTTTCGTTACGTAATATAACTTCGCTAGAAAGTAGGTGTCCTCTACAGGTTCCTCGATAATCATCAGATATTTCTTTCTTAAATCCGGTAATTAGGTCAAAGATAACTATCATATCTTCCTGTTTTGATTAATAAATGAAGTAATTACTAATAAAAAGCTTGAAATCTTAAAAATAAACTTGTTATCCTTCATTTACAATAGGGATGAAATCATAACTTTACCTGATGTTTGTGCTAAATTTGAAATAATTAAGTTAATCCTTAAAATCATCATTTGTAAAGTAAAACTTATTATTAATTGAGTCTATATCAAAGAAATTGAAGTCATTATCGATAAATTTCTATGCTTGATTTATTAGTTATAATGTCTAAGAATCAAAGATTAAAAGAGAATAACTAACAGTTTGATTTCCTGAAAAAATAATGAATTTGTTAGATGAAGTTGCTAGATTAAGCATATATTTTATGCTAGATGGATATAGCTAATGAACAATCTTAAGATTAAAGCCATCTAGAGTGCTATAATCGCAAATATTAAAATCTTAGTCCATAATGTATTCATACAAGTCCAAATACTTAATGCCATAATAGTGTTTATAAAATTACTAAACTATTCTTAGTGTTTTTCTTTCTACAAAGATTGTTGTTTAACCTGGTTTTTGAAAAATAAAGTAATCTTTTAGTTAGTAGCTGTTTATACTATAATCTCCATTTATAAACTAATAGTAACTTTAAGTATCATCTTTAATAAACAATTTACGAAAGTCATCTCCTATTTATTCGTTGTATTAGTCTTGCGTAATACATTTTATTTCAAATTTAATTTTAATATCTTAATTTAATTTTGTTATTAATTAGTCTTCAAGTTGAAATAAAAATGTATTAGTTTCTCCATAATTGCCATAAGAAATCATGACATTGAATTCATCAATAATGTTAACGTTCTAGATAAAGCCTTAAGTATCAAATTTGAATACAATTAAATGCTTATCTTGATTTTACTCGATTAAATCATCAAGTTTTACAAAGAATACAGTATAATTTTCTTGGTAAAATATGTAATCGATATCATTGAAAAATCTGTGAATGATTCTAGCATCTTCGTTAAAATTTTTTAACTCAATAGTTTTAATCGTCTATAAAGTGATAAGGTCATAAATGTCAATAGATCTTATTTCCTTATTATTTTCGTCTTGATATTAATATTCTTCCAAAAGCAAGTTTCTTTGATGTATGATTAAGAGTTATCTAGATGAAAATTCCCTTTTAGTTTTTTCTAGCTTTAATGGAATACTATAAATTCTATTTTAAGCCTTAGAATAATCTATCTCATTGTACTTGTCCAATATCCATTGATATTCTTATGGTAAAAGTTGTTTTTTCTTTGTTTAAACTTGGACTTAATTGTTGAATTAACCTTGTAATAGAGGTTCCTAAATGTCGGAGTTTTACTTCAAAAGCATATCTTATGTTTGGCAAAATCTTTAGTGCTAAATTATATTTAATATTAGATAGTAAATTTACTTAAAATTTAACCTTAAATAAATCTGATCAGAATAAAAGCTTCAAAATGATAATGATGAACTGGCAAAATAACTGATAGTATATTTATATTATGAATTCAATCGATCAAAATAAAAATCATTGAGTATTTGCATCTAATTCATTTTATTCCATTTATTTAGACCTCTATCTCTTATCAAGGGGTTTTGGGGTTTTGGGG